CAGGGTAGCAGCAGGAAGTAATACAGAAAATGGGGGGAGCAAACTAACAAACTTAAGAACACACCACAGCAGCTCAGAGGGTGTTTTTGTTACAGCTTTGGAGGAATGACCTCTGTGGAGCTGTCAGCAACCAGAGCTGCCCCCAGCATCCCCCAAACTCCACATTAATGAGTTCTTGCCTTGTCCTGGAACAGGCAGTGTTTTTGTCTCAAACCCGACAGCCTGGAAAAATTTATGTGTCCCTTCCAAGCAGCTTATCCTTTCCTGGAAAAAAAGGACAGAATTTAGATGGAGTTTGCTCCAAGCAAGGGCTTTCCAAAGCTGAGCAGCTGTGGAGCCTGAGTTCACCTGAAACACCTTGTTCTGCAGTTTGATTTTCCGGTATTTCTCCTCCTCTGGATGGAGATAGATGTTATCCAGGTACCTGCAGGAAGAGGAATGCACTGCCTGGATCAAAGCAGGACACTCCAAGGTCAGAGACAAAACAGAGACCTCACAGAGACAAAAAGCTGAGAAACTCAGGAAGATAAAATATATCAATGTTTTGGGGCCAAACTGAACAACCAGCAACTCCCAAACCTCTTGGATTAGTGGGACCAACAACTCCTCCAGGATGCTGACATCAGGTCAACTGACAAACTGGGTGGTTCAAGAGTTCCATTTTCTTCCGAAAAAATGACTTTGCTGGAAGCAGAGCAAGCAAACCCAGCAGGGAAGGAAGGGATGAGCTGCCCGTGCCCTCAGTGACACTCACTTGGCCATGGTCTCCACGCACAGCCGGACCTTCTCCCGCTCCTTGTTGAAGGTGTGGATCTCCATGATGGAAGCAGCCACCGGGTCCACGGAGAAATACTGGGGGACAGGGAGAGAAGCTGCTCAGGGAGGAGCTGACCCCAGCCCAGCTCAATTGTTCCCCATTTGCTGGGCTAGAGATGATTGAACAGGTAAAATGAAATTGTCCTGGGGGAGATTTTACACGAAGGAGGTGGAGAGTTGGCAAGGTCACTGCTGAAGGGGAGCCACAGCACAAAAGGAGTTTGAAGGGAAGCACTCACTGCCTGGATGGCTTCTCGGAGCTGCTTTTCCTTCTGGTCTTTCCTCACAACAGTACCAGTCAAGGGGCAGATGAAATAAACCCCTGAGACAGAGGGAGCAGCTGCCCCTTCCTCCTCCTGCTCCTGAAGGAGATCAAACCAAACTGAGCACGGGGAGGTTTTGGTGGGGATTATGTTTATAAATCCTCTCAGGATAAGGAGAGCAGCCCCAAGGGGTGCTGAGCAGGGAATGGCAGCATCTCCCTCACCTTTTCCTCCACGGAGAGCCGCTTCTCGCTGGCAGCTGCCTCGGCCATCAGCTCTTTCCTCACTACAACACACAAACCTCGGTTGGAGTGGAGGCTCAGCACATTCCAGAGCCTTTTGGACAGCTCAGCGCTGCCCTAGGAAGCAAACACCTGCCCAGGTGTGGCGTCCCAGCCCAGGGCTGTCCATGACCCCATTTCCAGGACAGCTGCCCCAAACACGCAGGACAGGGAGCCGTCCCCGGGCGCTTTTCCAGCCGCGATTCCCGAACCTACCCTGGTTCCTGATGGCCTCCTGCGACGCGGACGGAGCCTTTCCTCCCTTGGGCT